GGGGGGTTACTCTGTAAATGTTGGTGCTCGATGACGCGTTCCTTTTGTTGCAAGGAGCAGCATCCCTGCTCCTCAACGAGAGACCAAGATCGTTCAGGCGCTCTCTCTCGTTTTCTCCCCCCTTGTGTTCGCGGAGCGTTCGTTCTCATCATGCCCTTTGCTTGTGAGCGTGTCTGGTGGTACCACAAGTGATCTTTCGTGACAGGTGCAGCGATCGTTGTCTCGCTGTTACCTAGTGAAATCTAGTGCGCCAACTTCTACCATTCCGCATCCTTCTCTTCTTTTGGGACGGGGGGCTACTGTTTCGGCGGGTGGGTTGGCGGAAACTTGCTTGCTTTTGGGAATGTACGGCTAGCATAGGGCCCCTTCGTGATAGCGATGCAAGTGAGGTTCGCTCTGGTTTTCTATTACCGGTATCGTCTTGCAGCGTTGTGCCGGCGGCGTTGCTGGGGCTTGAGAGGTGTACCAGCGCCAACCCCACCGCCGCATGGCTGCCGCCGGCTTCCTACGTTGCGCTCGTGACCTAATCTGCATGCCGATGCCTGCAGTCGTGGTCCGTCCCTCTCTATTGCAGGATTGTGCCAGGACGATTCGCGCGCCCTGCAGAAGGGCGCCTGGCCTGTTCAACGTATAAAACTACTGAGTTTTTATTTAAATGTACCGAGGGCCATTCCTTCACAGGGCGGGGCGTGCACCTGTATGATTCACTCACCCTATACAAGTAGCGAGCGCCCGGCCTGTTCAATGTATTCGGAAGTTGCTCAATTTTTCTCTCTGTGCATAAGAGGTTTCACCTACCGGCCTGTACCGGCCCGACGGCCGCCCGAGGGAAGAACCCTGACCGTTCTATGGCGCTTCCGATTTTTTTTCCATGTCTCGGGCATCACTTGCGTGTCACGCAGGCGGCGTTCCGGGTGTACGACAAGCTCGCCGCTTACGACGAGTTTGAGTACGGTTACACCTTGAAGGTTCGTTCGTGCGAGGGGAGGTGGGGGGGGGTACTCGTAGCCGTGCATGCTGCAGTCGTTGGACACGTGGACCATTGAACTGCGAGAGGACGGGAAGCATTCAATGGAAGTACGACATTGGTGCATACTGGGGAACGTGTACGTGATGGGACGTTGCTGCGCCACGCAAAAGTTTGGCACCACTGTCGTGGTTGTGTATAGAATGTATCCTCGTGTGATGACGTGACAACACATGGAACCCAAGCACCATCACGAAGAGCACGTCGCGGTGGGCGTGCTACGTAGCAGGTTAACGGGAGCACCTTACCAAACAAATCACAGATTTGGAGCGGCTCCACCCCGTACAAGAGTTTGGCCAGCCTCATAGGTTTGATCTTTTGATGCCGCTTGCCCTGACACAGATGCCATATTCTGGCGTTTGTTTGGTGCCGAGTGTTGTAGTCGGGCGGCGCGAGCACCCTCCCTCGCGCGGAATCCTCAGCACCGGCGGACGTAGGATAGTCCATTGTTATTTGGTGTTGCCTGCCACAATATTTCGTACCCCCAGACTGTTTGCGCCGCCTCCATTTTGCTTTCATAAGTGCGTCCGGGGCTCATGGTGTCCAATACGCTCTCTTTCCGGTGGAGGCCCCCAAGCACAGCTCGCTCTTTTATTGGTTGTCACCAGAGCACATTTGCGTGCTGCGTTGCACGACGCCTTGCTTGAAGAAAACTCCTTGTTTGTTATGCCCCATTTTTTTTGTCTAAGTCGCGCTTTGTTTTTTTTCCGTCTTGTTCGCTGGTTGGTGCTGCCGTCTCTTTGTGGCCCCTGCGGTTGGGCGCGGCGGCGCAATTAATCCAGATGTTCCCGGACGACCCAGTGACCCCGATCGAGAAGCGAGCGCCGTCCACGAACCCTGTCGGGAAATTCTTCGAGGGTCTCCTGAGCCCGGTTAACACGGCGGGCATGAAAGGGCCGGAAATCAACCCTCCCCCGAAGTAGAGAAAATTTGGAGCCTTCGTTTTTCCTCACAGAAAACAGGATACCTCTTGTCGACGTTAGATTTGATAGATGGTATGGGATGGGCGAGGCACAAATCGACGTATCGTAGCCATCGCCAACCACTTGGCATATGAAGCCTTTTGCAAGGGTAATTTCGACGACGAAACACAGCCTTGCTTTGCCTGAAGGCCTTTCATACCGATAGGATTCGGACACGGTTTACCTTCGAGCCGGCTCGTTTTCTATCCGTACGAACTCGTGATGTTCTTAAAATTCATGGGCTACGTCTTGATCAGTTTCCACCACGGCCAATAGGTTGGGATCTCGGTAGTAGTGCAGATTGAAACGACCAGGACCACTGGCTGTTTTTTTTTTAACTGTTCGGGGCGGGGGGGGGGGGCGTGCCCTTG